ACCAAGGGCTCAAGTAGAAGGCAAATGTTTTGAGAATGATGATGACAACAGATGTACAAATGTGCTTGACATAATAGATGTGTGTATGGATTGTGATGAGTTGTACAAGCCCCCAATAAAATGTTTAAAAAAATAATAATTGTGAGCTCATCACACCATGAGCTACTCTAGGGCAAAGAAAAGAAATAAGCCAGAGTCCAGCAAACTGGGGCTCTGGAGCCATATGAAGCTCTTGTATGTACATACTTATGGCTCTGAAGTAAAATTGAAAAAAATTTAAAGGATATGTTATTCAGATAATGATGATTTCATTTGTTTGTAAAAATATATTTATGGCTTGCAAATAATTTTTAAATTGCAAGGGACAGGATTGGCTCTTCGTCTCAAGCGTTGGCTGGCTCGTGGCCTAGATGAATTACACTGACTTGAAGAGCCTGCCGCGACAAAATGCCAGCAACAAAACACGAAGCAATAGCGCATCGGGCGTAGTGGCTTCCAGTTGATTGTGACCCCATGTGTGCCCAAATAGACGGCGCGCCATAAGGTTTCAAGGGCTGGTTTTTCCCTGAAACGGATGGCCAGCCCTTTCTTCTGAGAAGTCTGTGAGTGGACTTAAACCTCCAGCCTTCTCATTTGAAACTGAGCCCATGAACCCTTTGCACCATCCAGGGACTCTTAACATACAAGGGGGTACCAAAAAGAAAAAAAATGAAAAATTTCCCCAAAACTATGTACTTAATTTTTTTTTTTTTACAAAACAACCTTGTCACCTTCAAAGTACTCTGTTACACTTAATACATTTGTCAAATCTGCGATTCCATTCTTAGAAACATTTTTCAAACTCATCTGTTTGGATGGCTGACAGCACCTCCCTCGTTTTTTTCTTTACCTCTTCTACGCCTTCAAATTGTCCCTCTTCATTTAAGGAAATAAAAAGAAGTCGCATGGACTGAGATCAAGTGGGTAAGATGCTTGGGGCAAGAGAGGCGTGCCTTTTTTCTTTTTGCCAAAAACTGACTCACTGAGATGGCTTCATGAGTAGGTGCATTGTCGTGGTGGCAAAATCAGTCTGCCATAAATCAAGCCCTTTTTGTTGCACACAGTTACACAATCTTTTCAGAACCACTAAATAGAAAGCTTAATTAATAGTCTAACCTGGTGGACCGAACTCCAAATGTACTACAAATTGACATTTTCATACTTTTGGGCAGTTGACTGACATCCAGAATGAGGTTTGTCATCAATGGACATTTCACCTCTTTTGAAACTAGGAAACCATTTTTATATTTGAGTTTTTCCCATCGCGCTGTCCTTGTAAGCTGTGTTCAATGTCACAACAGTTCTGCAGCATTTTTCCCAAGCAGGAAAAAAATTTCACAGCCTCATGCTATTCTCTTAAATCGACCATCACAAAAAGACAAAGTTCAAGTGAAATTGCTTTTATGAAAAAATTCCCAGAGAGAACCTTCCCTGGCGATGCCACTAGGTGCCCTAATTCAGAGCAAGTTGCTCAATCCTTGCCTCACAGGAAAAATGTGTATTATGAAAGCTCCATCCGTCTGTTTGGTTTTTGGTGGAGGCGGGGGCGGGGGCGCGGGTAACCCCTCGTACAACACAACTATTTCTATAAAGGACAACAGCAAATGGACATCATTTCTATTATTGTAATTCAGGATGGTGGCTTCCCTGATGAGCGTGCAGAATCGACTAGAGGGGAACACTGGGGGCCAGGGCAGGGCTTCT